GAACCTCCGACCCCCGACACGGGTGAACCTGAACTCTGTCGCAGGGAAAGCCGCCGAGATGTTCCTAAGAAAAAGGACACCTCAGCTCTGGGAACATGGAAAGGCCCAGGTTTGCCTTTCCCGAGTTAGATACAAATGAAGCCCAAAGAAGGCTACATGCTTCCAAGGTCCCTTGCCTTATTCCCAATGGGGGTGAAAAGGCAAGCCCTAGCTAACTTCCTGAAAGTGGAGTTGAACCTGAGCCAAAGTCACTTGCACGTTGGAGAATTGTTGTGCCCTCTGTTGGATTTTTTCGGTTGGAATTGGGATCCTGCACCACTTTCAAACCACGGAACTCATTGAAGTCCGGTCATTCTTTCCGACTTGTTTACGGCCCTTTTGGGAGGGACATACTGTGGATGGACGAAATCCTGCACCACCTCAGACAGCCCCCCTGCAAGTACAAACCAACAATATGGAAGCTTGGACTCGCGGAATTCTGAACCCAAGAACTTTGGACTTGAAGCTTTCCTAGGCCCTCCAGTGGAGAGTTTAGAGTAAGACCCTGTTTTCTGTGGTCGATTTTTTAGTAGGGGAACCCTCCCAACCAACAAAGGGGTGAGAAAGGGCACTACTGGAGGACCGAGGGCGCTTCCGCCTTCCAAATTAAAAGTTTCTGGGCACCGCCCGTTCCACCGCCCGAGCGGCAGCTGCAGGAGCGCTTGCAGCCAGTGCGCCAGCGCCGCCGCGCGGCTGGGCTGGCCGAAGCTCCCCGCGAGGTGCGCTCGCGCCTGGACACTCGGCCATGGGAACCAGTTAGCCCCTCGCTTCTCGAGTGGATACGCCAAAGAAGGCCAAACCTTCAGTGGTCCCGGAACTCAAGGAGTGTGGCCTGCTTTTTTTAAATATATATATATATATATATGTTTTCCTCAAGAAGGACACCGCAAGGATAGGGTTGATACTATGTCTTAAGCAGGGGTTCGCCTAACCCTCACGGACCCACTTTTTGCAACCAGCGCCCGGCTCCAAACCAAAGGCCCAGCAGTGACGTTCATGCTTGTGCGAATGCGGCAAATGTTCCGCTAAAGCAGTCAGTTTCGTGTCTTTGAACCTTTTGCCCCGAGAGCTTTTGGAATGGAGCCATCAGCGCAAACCAAGTGGTGTCGGGCTTCTGGCTTCTTGGATGCCACGCGATTGAAATGCCCCCCCCCCACTCCCTGAGTGGATCTTTGTCAAAAAGATCGACACTTTTTCTTTACCCGCAAAACTGGGGAAGTGAGGGCGACCTGCTTCCCCAACCCCAAGTTGTACCTGACCCAACAGCTTGGAGGTGGAGAAACCTTTCCAATCATCGCCCAACACATGTTGGAGGACCCCCTTTTGATGGGAAACCCGAAAGGCGGAAAAAGAGAACCCATCCCTGCCACAAAGGGGAAGGGGGGGTGGGGTCACCCCTTCAATTTCATGTTTAAAGAGGTGAGGAGAACCGGTCAAAGCAAAAGGAACGAGCCAAAAAGTAAATGTTCAACCCCCGTGCTGCGACAAGGCATTGGCTTCTAATAATTCATCCAAACCGTTGGATGTCCTTTACATTCTCAGCTAGCAGAAATGAACCCGCAGCTTTGGGCAACTGGGGCGTGCTTTTAGGTGGGTAGGTTTGGGAAGTGAATTTCGATGACCCCAAACCAAGCTCCTGGATGGGTGAGTCACAAAGCAATTGCTCCTTGCCTCTGCATGCCAGAGATCCAGCTGCCCTACGGGTGAGGCGTTGTCTTTGCAGCAACTTGCTGACAAGCAAATCATGGAGGCTTGACTCCTCCATGGATCGTTTTCGCAGTGCTTGAGAGGTTGCCTCAGATCTTTAAAATGTGTGTCTCACTGCTTAAAGGCGTGTCTGCTCGCGAGCCTGGAATGCCAGCAGTTCGGGTCATATTTGGAGGAAGGGGCGCCGTTCCTAAAAAATGGAATGAAAAGAAACAAGCACCACCCATGTTGTATCATGTTGTCAGCATTTTTAGGGGGGGTGGTACATTGTATTTTAGGAGAACAACCGCCCTATTTTAGAAACACTTACCCATTTTCTCACCTATTTTCTGAGACCGATGTCTCGCCTCGAGAGAGGCCACGGTGGGAGGCTGCCACGCCCTTAGCCCGGCTTCGTCCTTTGCCGCCGCCGGGCACTCCTGGCCGAGGGCTGCGGGCTGCGGGTCATGCGGGTCGCCGTGAAGAAGAGACACAAGGGTCAATCAAGGAATCGTGAAGCTATGAAGTCAATCGGAACCCGTTCAGCAAACCCTGGATTGATTTGGAGTGGGGGTTGTGTCTCATTTGGGAAGGGATCCGGGTGACTTTGGGGCGGTGAAAACCGGATTCGCTTAGTATCAAACGCATGGGAATCCCAACACTTCCTGACGTTTATGGCTCAGTTCCGCGAATTGCAACTGATTTTTCGCCAGTTCGAGGGTTTGGGAGTGAAGCAGGGTGGTTTCGTTCTCTCCCCAAACCATAACAAATAGGTTATGTTTGCCGCCTTTTATGTAAGATCCCCAAACAGCCAAACAAATTGGATTTGGAGGAGTGGTTTTGCTGAGAGGGATGAGAGGGATGTTCCTTTGAGTGGCTTGATGAGGCTTGGTTTCTTGTGCCTTTGGCAGGGCGAAGGCTCACACGCGATAACAAAAAACAACTAGGGATGCTTTGTGCGGATTTTTCAGGATACCAGGATAAGGGCCCTGGAGTTGAGGAAGCCATGCTCCTTGGCTGATAGATTGGTTGGGCCCCTTCTGTGCACCAATAAAAGCAATTTGCACATATATCTGCTTTTGTCTTTCTGCGAGGATTGAAACCATCTGTGGACGACGAGACGCGAGCCCACTGGCCCAAGCGGAAAGGGACGTCACTGTGGCCGTTCTTCAAGTACTCTTGCAGGACCTCGCGGCAAAGCCAATCGAAGTGATCTTTCCAGGCTCGCAACCCGCACGGGGTCAAAGCCGGTTTGCCACCTTTTCAGCGATGGTATGATAAACGCCTGCCGTCGCCGCCAAGCTGCTGACCTCCAGGCTACTGGTCTGAGGGGGCTGCGCTACTGAGCGATTCTGCAAGGCGCTGGAGGCTTCGTTGTGGGGAGTTGTGAGGACTCCGATGGAGGCTCATGTCACAAGGGGAATGGTTTCCAAAGGGCATGTGTCGAGTGCCGTGACAGGTCTTGGGAGGGCACAGCAATAAAACAAATCACATGGACATATTGCATTTGGGCCTTTGGTGGCAGGTTCCCCGAGGCAGCGGCTGCACACGGTACATAAAGTCATTCACAACTGCCATCTGTTTCGGACCCATCCTAGAAAACGCAGCTGGAGCCCTGCCATACGCACCCCTTCAGCAATGGCTTGCTCTCAGTGGGGAATATGGGGACGAATCTTCCAACCGCCCTATACACGGAGAACCCAAGATTGGAAAAGGGTCGGGCCCCGGGGGGGGGGAACAACCCCCAACTGCATTTCTCACGGGCTTTTTCCCTTTTGACCTATGGATCCAGAAAACAAGGTGGAGGATTGCATTAACTAGACCTCCATTTCCAGATTTCCGAATCTGCTAGTACCAAGGCCACAATCACGCGTTGACGTGAACAAACCATACCTCGACAACTCGCCGAAACTACGGACCCTGCGCGAAATTTGTTGGGCTTCCCGTTCATCGGCATAGGTTGACCCAAACCTCTGAACAATTCCTTTGTCGAATCAGTGTGCCCGCTCCTCCTCGAGTAGCTGCACGGCAACCAGGTCATACGGCCCCTCCGCCTTGACCAGACCACTTCGGACCTGCACATCGGTTTGGGTTTTCTCGTCTTTATGGCAAAGGGCATGACTTGCATTTGGGGTTTGGATTTGGGCTTTCTTTCAAAGAAACCTACCGGAACAACATAGAATTTCGGTGTTTTCCCGCATAATTTCCTGTAGCTGGTGTTTCAATGATTCTCGCCCAGAGGCACCACGGGACCTAACATTTATTTGGGGGTTGCTTGCCCTCACTTACAAGCGAAGGACCCGGACAGGAGAGCTTCACTTGGAACCTTGGCCATGGTTGCCAACATGGAAAAAGCACGAACATATCAAAAGAACAACTTGATTTGAGCAGCTATGTGCAGTCTTGGCCCCAGACACCAAACCCAGCTTCTTCTGTTCAGGGCTGGTCCCAATGGAACTGTGCCCTGGGCACAGTGCCCCAACCACACAAATCGAGCCCTTTGGCTGAAATGGATTTGCACAAATGCCGGGGGAGCAGGCAAAAAAAAGGCGCTTCCGCCGGGTACCAACTGACGAGAGGAAGATGGAAGCTCACAAACAAAAGCATGTGTTGTAGCCCCTTGGAGGTAGCAGAAGTGCACTCACACACACACACATTTGGAGGTTTCCTTGCACACTAAAAGTGGATGTTAGGCACCAAAAAGGGGCACGCAAGTTAACAGGTCAGCGGTGGACAAGCTAGCTCACAGCTCTGTTACAAGACTTGCCATGACGCCAGCAGCAGGACTCGCAAAGCGGCGGCCGCCATCTTTGGGCGAACGCTCTGCCGATTTCTGCCGATAGTTTTCTGGGAACTCGTTGACCTGCTTTCGTGCATGGGCATTTCCCATTACTTGTTTGCTTCTTGATTTTCAGCAAACGTGCCACCTTTCCTCCCACCAGCATGGAACCCAGCCGAAGGTCCCTTTAATGGGGAAAGTTGTCTACCAGGAACCTCTTGTCAGCTTTCACGTGGGTGCCAGTGGTCCATACGGGCTGGCCAGTTCAAACATCCGTTGGTTTCCACACAGTGACACACGCGCAAATCAACAGGACCTTGAGCATGCAAACTGGGCGTGAAACACTTTGGTTGAAAGGCCTCTTGTTTCTTTTGTCGCAACTTGGCTGAAAGGCTGCAAAGATCCTACAGCAAGCGGCAGCTCGTGAGTGACATCTGCTGAAGGCTGAGCCGTGGCTCAGCCAACTGCGCAATGAAGTTCGGTCTGTGCCCCGGGCCAGCATGCCAGGCCAGCTTTCGAACCTTGTGTCTCGCTCCGAAAGGCTGAGGAACACGGGGACAATGCCTAACCCTGGGAAAGGACACGATCAAAAACACTTATTGTCTCAGACAATTTAAACATAATGCTACACCTCCTTTATTCATAGTCCACTCTATTGTAGCAATTGTTTTTCGTAATTCAGGGGGGGGGGTGTAAACAGGGTCCAACATTATTCCCTGGTCAAACCTCCAAACGACGTTGATGCCTTTGAAGGGATCGAGGGCGTCCCCCAGCCCACGAGCCATGGCTCATACCGGGCAGCGGGCTCAATCCGCAGCCTGCGTGCAAAACGAGCGAGCCATCGAGTGACCGAGCGGCGTTGGGATACACGAAAATGAGTTTCCTCTACACTCGACAAAGGTCTGTCTTTGTGCTCCACGTCAATTTGCGCCATTTATGTTATTGTATGTTTGGGTGGGTGGGTGGGTGGATTGGGCGAGTATTGACCTGACGCGTTCTCAACTGGTCTGGCCAAGGACAGATCAAGGCGCAACCTTCGGGGCCATACAAACTATATAGGTGTCATGCCAAAATCGCGTTGGACCATATTCCCCAACACCAGTGGTAGGGTAGCTTTTCCCTTCTTGCCGGAATCGACGCGAGTGGGATATGAAAGCAGCGAATGCCCATTGTCGTTTGGTTCTAAGGTGACTAAGGGTTAGCCTTACTGCAACCTTTATGAAGCCACATGTCAGATCCACCTTTCTTTTACGGCCAATAAAGATTTCCATCGCTCGAATCAACTCAGCGACTCTGAGCGGCAGTCGTGCACTTGCGGACGCTCGAGTCTTCCGCGATCAAGGCAACGTCCACCTGGGAGCAATTGAAAGGGCGGGGAAACCCAGTCCCAAAAAAGGGGGTGAGTCTTTGTGCAGACCTACACAAGAGCAAGTCAAAGGGTCCATGACCATCACCAAGTTAGCTAATTGGTCCTTTCACCATTGCACGCACAAAACGGTGTTCTTGTTTGCTCCGCTTGAATCACCAAACCCTGGGCAGTCGGTGAAACTAAACAGGATGTCTCCCATCAATGATTTCAATAATTGGGAGACAAAAGGTGAAGTGCTCCTCTAAGTGTCTTGCTGCTAGTTCCCGGGGGAATAATGTTATTTTCAAGAAGGTTGACATAAGGCGAAACCAAAGGAAACCAAGCCATGACATTCCATCAGCCCTCTGGCTGGTTTACCAGTTCAGGGTCTGACAATATGTTTCATTGGTTCACTTGACTTATGTGGGAACCCAACCTTCGCCATGGAGCTACCACGCCCAAAATTGACATGGATCTTGATAGGATACCATGTTGCTCAAAGGACTTGAATAAGCCAACGCTGGAGTGCCGCTTCCCTTCCTGCCGCCAGGCATTCCATGAGCATCTGATTCAGGACTGGACCTGGCCAACACCCCCAAAGTTGACAAGTTGAACTCGGTCAACACCCCTGGGCTGCTGGACCAACTCACCCTGAAGCTCCGCCCCAAAGTCACTCTTTGTCAGCCGCAGGCCAGGCAGGCGGCTCTCACACTGGCGGCACAGACCTCATGTTCAAGAAAAAGCCAAGGGGAAACTAAGCTGTCCCTTGTCACATGCAAAGGCTGGATTCCTCTTGGCCCTGGTCACCCGCACAGAATATAAAGACCTCAATGAATGCTGTAGGGACATTCATCTAGGTCCTGCATCCTCCAATTGTGGGAGCAACTACTCGGCTACAATCCTAGGGCGCGCCCTTGGGAATACGTGACGCTACACTGCTGCAGGCTTACGTGGAACCCAACCACCCATTCTTGTTGGAGAAACCTCGCTTTGGGGACTTTGGGTTGAAGTTTTTGCTTGGGTCTCTAGAAGCAAACAGATGACAGAATTGCAAGAAGTGCGGTGAGAGCGTGAACTGGCAGATGAAGAGAGCAAATCGAGTTAGGGAGTGCCAGACACGACCAAAGGTTCTACAACGAGCTGCGGTGCTCACCGGAAGAGCATCCAGTGCTCTTGACAGAAGCGCCGTTGAATCCCAAGGCTAACCGAGAGCGAATGACGCAAATCATGTTCGAGACCTTCAACGTTCCCGCGCCCTCGCGTCAACGGGTCAAAAATAGGTACCCAAAATGGAACCCTGGTAAATGGAACAAAGACTAAGACCTGCGGTCCCCTGGTGGCTCAATTTTGACCCATACCCATTTGAGGAGTTTGGGATGGACGACAAAAAAAGAAGTCCAAGCTGCTGGTCTTCCGCGCATGCCTCTGGATGGGACACCTGAGCGACTTGCCAATCTGGCATGCGTAGAAGGCCGTAGCCTTCGAAGGAGATCGTTTTGTGATGGCCTGAATGGGTGGTTTCTTTCCTGCACAAATTTAGGGGTACAGTACCTGAAGGCTACGACTCTGCATCTGGCCTGTCCATATCGGGGAGGCAGTCTTGGCCCGTTTTGGAACGAAACTAACCCTACACCAACCTGCCTAAGGGTTGATTCCCCATTCTCTTGACCCCTCTTTCTTTTCAGAACCAGACATTTCCACATTCTGCCAAACTGTTTGAGACATATCAAGTGAACCAAGGGCAGCAACTTCATGCCCCCGGGATACGTGCCCAAAACTATACCTTGCTTGGCATGGGGGGCCATAAGTTGGAACCCCCAATTCGAAGGGGAGACATGGCGGACCCGTGCTTGGGCACCGGTCGGCGGTTGGTGGGTGAACAGAAATGCAATCCAACCAACTCTTTGGGGGACCCCCCATACTTCCAGAAACTTGGCTGGCCTGGGGCCCCCAGCAAATGCCAACCTTTTTGCTGGCTAAATAAAACACCACCTCGCGATCAAGACGACCAAAGCTATTGCCGGCCTGGATCACAAGACCGCGTTCCCGACCAGACGCCTCGCGAAATGCTCGCAAGGCATGGCCGACACACTTGAGAAGAAGTGTGGCCCACCTCCAAAGGCAAATTGCGCTTTGAAGGGCAATTTGTGAAAAAGTGTGGGTCGCTACAGGAAGAACGCGCAGTCTGATCTGCTCTACTTTACTTTTCCGCTTTCCGTGCGGGGGTTTTGGCACAACCAACGGAAATCATGAGGATGTCCGATCCCAAGGGAAACCAAGATTGGGCACTAGAGCCCGCAAAATATGTGGGCCCCCTGTCATTCTTGATCCCGAATTCATAAACCTCCAAACCCCCAGGTCATTCCAGGGGGTCCCTGGAAGAAAGGAATCCGGTTTGACAATCAATCGTACTCCCCCGTAAATCCCTGAGGAATAACGTGAAGAAAAACAACATGCACAGTCTGTGAAGTATAGCTCATCAGCGGCTTCTTCCCTCTCTATCTCTCTGTGTCTCCCCTTCTCTCTGTCTCTCTTAACTCTGTCTCTTTCTCTTTCTGTCAGTTGCCCCTTAGGGACCCAGAACTAAGAGGTGATCAGCTTTTGGGGCCACAAACAAAGGGCTGTCACAAAGAAAGGGAAAACCAAACGGGTCATTTCAGGTCGATTCGCCTTGAACTTAGTTCTCTCATGGCTCTACTGCAGACTCCACCGTCTCTTTCTCTCGCGCCTGTGCACTGGCCCAGGGCTTCGACTTCTTCTTTTCCTCGTGCGGTGGTTTGGGTCTTACATCACGCTGCGTGAAAACAACGCATCCAACTGCAGCGGCCTCGGGTAGCCAATGACTTACCCGTCCCCTTTGTGCATGGCTGGACAGGCAAACAGCTTCTGGGGTTGAATATGTTGAATGCCAAAGTGAGGCGCCCAGCTGTCCATGCAGATCACAAGGTCATTAGCTGGATGGTTGATCCCTTTCACCCACCCCAATTCCCCAACTCCCGCCTACCCCCAAAACCGGGAAGGGACTTCCATCGCCACCCACGCCTCTTCCCTAATTCCTGCTTTGAAGAGCGTGCTTCTGGCAAAATGGTTGCATTGTCTACTAAGATACCCTTGGTTGTCAGCTAAATGTTGACCTTTCCTCAACCTGGTGGATTATCAGGGGAGTACTCGCGCAAAAGTGGTCCAAATCTCCTCTAACAAAGGGCACTCCCTCATTAATGGTTGATCCTCCCCATCCCCGCAAATTACCTCAAGGGTGGGGGGTGGGGGCCTGCCAATTCCATTCTTACATCTGCGGGCTTCCCAAACAGTGGAACTACCTAGATAGCCAGGTTGCTGTTTTTTTTTCAGTCGCTGTTGCTGTTTTTTGGGGTAAAGTGGGTGGAACAAAAGGGCAGCAACTGGCGATCCAGGTAGAATTTCAAGACTCCCCTCCCCCAATTCCATTTGCTACCCGCTGCCCAGGCGCGGCTGCCGCCGCTGCAGCTGTCGCAGCCGTCGCAGGCCCTTTGCCCGTGCCCTTCTTTGGCACCGCCTGAGGAGCTGACCCTTCGAGTGGATTGGCCCAAGTCTAAACTTCTTGGGATGTTTGCCAAAAACTATAAGGTAAAACTGATTTATGTGCAACTCTCGTTGCCTATGGTTTGCCAAACACGGTCTAAGCTTGGATTGTCTTCCCCAAACATATGTTAAGCGCAAAGCTGTTGGGAAGTGAGAGCCTCTCGAGCGACTTCTTGAAGAGGTGTGCGAATTCAGCTGCCACTCTGGTAATCACTTGATGGGAGCCTAGGCACACATAACCCCTAGTTCATTGCTAGAATCGTCTCCGCTGAAAGTGGAATTCCTTGGACTCAGAGATGGCTGCAATTCTCACAACGTCCAAACATCCAAGAAAGCTAGGGGCAAGGTACTGACAGGGTTCCTATACTTCACCCCTTAAGTATCAACCTGCCAAAGGAAATTCACTGTAAATTTGCCCCGAAAGGTGATGCTTGAAGCCGAAGAGGAAAAGTTGGTGAACCCATCCTCGTCACCTCTGGTGGCAAGGTATTATTATACCATCGGGCATGTCCACCCTGGAAAATGTTTGGTGGGGCAACGGCCGACTAAGACCTCCACTGGTCATGCCAAAATTATCGAAAGCTACATTGTATACTGCGGCGTTTTGCAATATCTGTCTAGAATCGGAAAACTACCCTCAAAGGAGGCCCCTCTTCATATGCGCGTGTCTCTTTTTTAAGCATCAACATGGGAGGGGGGGTTCTTTTCCGTTTCCTGGGCTCTGACTTGGGATTGTCTCCAAACTCGGCTTTCCTTTCGTCCACCCCCCCCCCCCCCGCAAACAACAACCACAAAACACACACGTAACAAACGAACAGGTTTCCCCTCAATAACAATCTGAAGGGGTTCCTTCATGAGCATAGGTGTCCTCTTTGGGAAAATAGATGGCCCTGGTAGTTGATTGAACCACCAGGTAAACCAGGACTCGCCCTGAATTTTGCAACCCAATCAGCCGAAAAGGACACCTATGTTCATGACACCTGCGACAAGCCCGGCCTGTGCGGCCGGCGCCTCAGCGGCCCGGGAGCGGACCACCAGCGTGACGCCGTCACGGACCTCCTGGCGGATGCTGAGGCTGGGGCTGTCGACGCCCTTTGAAGTCGGGTGCTGAAAGCAACAAAACGTGTTGCTTTCCCAAAAGGAAGCCAAGAAACAGACAGAATCCTACCTCCTCGACGCTACCCTCTGACCAACAAACACGGAAGTGCACACACCTATTTGGGGGGACTACTTTCCTTTTGGGAAGGGGGCCCTGTGCGCTTCCATTCTTTTTGGTCGGATGGTAGAAAGGTTCTTGCAGACCTCAGGGTTGGATGGTACGCAGAATGGTCTGTGGATTTTTCCAGGCAGGTAAGTAGACTAGATCCCCCAGCAGCGCCCTTTCACCCTGGTACAGGCTCAGTGGCCGCGAAGCGCATTGTAACTCCACGGTGACTGACACCTCCTGCAAGCAAGTACCCGGCCAAAGTGGTTCAAGCTGCAACCTGCTCCCAATCATTGGTGCTCATTGAAAGGTTGTGCTTCCGATCTCAGGTCGGCAACAAAGAGCCGAGGATGAGAAACAAAACCGGCTTGTGCATTTTAGCTGGCACACACCGAATTTATTCGCGTAACTTTCCCATATGGTTTAGAGTCTGTAGTCATGGATTGAAAGTGCCCCTGCCATTGAATGGTGGAACCTCCAACACGGTCCCAACATAGACCCCCAGCTGTGAGGCAATGAAGGGCACACTGCAAGTTGTTGGCTGCAGGTTCGTCTCGCAAGAACGGCGAGATAGCGGGTGTTCAACCAATGGGAACCTAAACTGAGGAACAAATGGGCCCTGGTTGGTGCTCGATCTTGGACGGGACTCCGCTTCAAAGTAGAGGTTATGGGAAACGTAAAACCAATGAAACCAATTGACACATTGCGAGAACCGCGGACACCATTGGGAAACTCATGGGAGATCTGTGGGAAAGGAAAACAGAAGACGGGGCAGTGGATCAAGAAACCGGCCACGCCCCTGGTGCCTTGAAGTCCGCCAGTGGCTTTTCCACGCGTTCGGCGCCAGGGGACAGCCGGGAGTCCGCCCACTTGAGCGTCTCACCTCGGATTTCCAGCCTCCCAAATGTGTTCCAAGGAGCACCTTTCAGGTTCCATGGTTGCTTTGGGGAGGGTATGTTACATCAGCCTCCTACTAATTGGTATTTAAAACCTGCTGGTTTGGAGGTGTTCTGGAATGGGTGTCCCATTTGCCCTCTACAAAAGCCAGGGCTTCAATCCACCAATCCAAACCACCAACTGAAGGGTACCTGAAAGGTAGCCACCACGAGATGCATCTGGGGAGCGGGTGAGGAATGAATGAAATAAAATACTGTACATCCTCTTTTCCCGTCCTTTTGCGGGGAAATCAAACCAATATGGGAGATCTATCCCCGGTTGCTTGCGCCCCGGTTGCTTGCGCTTTGTGCCTGGCTGCTTGCTCCTGGGAGTCTCCGAATGTGACATCTACGGCCAGCAGGACACATGTCCAAGTATGGCCAAGGCTTGAGGCCTTGAGAGTCGTAGGGTTCGTTTGAGGCCAAGCGAGAATTCGGGAAGCCTCAGCAAGCCCCGGCCCTTCCAACAACTGAAGCCCAGTAGAATGCCTTGCTTGAGCGCACCGCCAAAACAACCAAAACAAGAACATGTTGTATTTTGCTGATGTGCCCAACTGACCTGACAAACAACTACATCTTTGGAACCAGTATCCGATATCCATGGACCGATTTTGGTCAATACCACATGGTCGGCTCGGCTTAGCTGCACACGAGCCGCAGCGACACACGGGCATTCAACTCGGAGCTCCCCGAAACATGCACCAGACACACGCCCCAACACTTCGAGTCCAGTTTGCAGACTCAAAACCTTAAAAGCACTACCCTAAAAAAGGCATTGCAGAATAGACCCCACATGCCCCCGCAAGGGGGGGGGGGGGAGAACCAACCACGAGGAGTCGACCTCATGCGAGTGCTATGCTTTTGTCAAGGCGCAGCGCTTCACCGTCAGAGGCGGGCCTAGCACTGGTGAGAACCTCTGCACTTCTCATTTGCACTCTGGCCCTGGGAGAAGAAGGGAATCCTCCGGATGTGGAAACACCCATTCTTGGGGTCACCAACTTTGGGGTCACCCATTTTTGGGTCGACCATTCTTGCATGTGAAAAACAGCCACTGAACAACTAGGACTCTGTTCAACGTTTCAGCCGCAACTCCTGAAAACACCATAGGTTCTCAAGAGATGGCAGTGGGTCAAAATTAGATACTCGACATGGATCCCTGGTAACAGAAACAAGGACAAAAACCTGCGGTCCCCTGCTGTACAATTTTGACCCATACCCAGACAAAGGCAATGCGCGCCCAGCTTAAGGAGCTGGCCAGTGGCGTGTGCTGCAACGATCTCCAGCGAATCCTGCGCCGCTTGCCGCTTTGTTGCCCCGTGATGCTGCTCATGACGCTTGCTTGGACGAGTTCGTAGCTTCCAAACATGACATGGCCGGGTTGTCAAACAAGATGATAGTTGTTTGGAACAGCGTCTACAATGCCAAGTGACTTGCATGGTTTTTAGCAGCGCGGCGGCGCAGCTTGAAATGAGTGAGGCAACCATCTATGCTCCTGTAAGTGGCGTGCTTGGACATGGCAGCATGATGTTCCCAACACGTTGAACCTTGGAAAGGTCTTCTCCTATTCTTCCAATCCCTTGCGACGGCATGTGTGAAAAACATAGACTGTCAGCCGTCCTCTGTTGGCAGGGCATTCTCCTTGTCTTCTTCCTAAGGGCGTGGGAGTCAACCCGGGTCGGAGCCACAAACGGGAAACGGACGTGTCGTGCGGATGCGTGAGGTACTTGAGCTGGGCAGGAAGGAATTCAGGGTGCGGCCAGCAACATGTCCCAAGCAATTCGTCCTAACAACTGCCTGGGCGTGTCAACGCTGCCCTGTGTCCGTCAATTTGCTGCTGTCAACACGCCCACACACACATATCCCGCAGCTGAAGCGCAGCCGCCAGTGCGACCAAGTTGTTGAGTGTCAAAGCACTACCAGTCGCTGATTCTCGTGAGGGAGCGCTGTTCAAACTAGGCCGGGCGCACATGAAAGACAATAAACTCTGTTGTCGAGGATAGTTGTAGCGCCCGGGCAGGGAATTTTCATGATGCTCATGACAGCCCGGGTCAACGTTTCTATGAATATTGCTGGCCGTCCCCAATTGCACAAAGCCAAAGCTGCCAGTCTTGTTCGACGGACAAGTGGGGCATCCCCAAAAGCGCAGCTGTGCACTTTTAAGCGGACACTACACGCCCGTGGGATAGGTCGCAAGTGGGGTCGTCTCCTTTTCTGCCGTATTCTGCCGCTTCCAAACAGCTGGGATGTCCTCAGATCTTCCGCTAAAAGTTTAACTTGTAGTGGGTTAAATGAAAATCTCGCTAAACGCTAAAAAGCTAAAAAGCCAAGGGGATGGCTGGGAGCCACCAAGACAAGTCACCATTGAGTCGCCCCACGTCTGTCTCTGCCAGTGCCCTGCACTAAGGCGCCCTCGCCACCTTTCAGCAAGCCCTTGAAGCGCTCGGTGAGCTTGTCCTGCACGAGGGAAAATACGCCACGGTACGCTGGACCACCAAGTTATTTCTGCCCGTCCTGAAATTCTGCAAGCGACTGGTTCTTGGTGACGACCAGCTCGCTGGGAGCATAAAGTCGCGCCTCTTGCACACGCCATGGCCTGCGACGCCACGAAGTGCCGAAAACTAGAAATACCCCCCAAAATGGCGGTTCCCTCTTGGTTTGCCTTGGGCACAGCAAGAAATGTACTCTCTAACACAAGCCCAAATTGTTCCACTCCAAACAACGGCATTAAAGGGCCTGTGCACGGGAAGTAACTGTCCCCGGGCACAGCACACGGTACTGAGAACGGCCTTACTTGGAAGCCTTGTCTCATGTTGGCTTGGCACGCTTATTACGAGCCCGCTCTCTTGTGAACATAGGTGCTGGTAAATCCCAAGAACCGAACTGAAACCAGTGGAACTCGTCAATGCTCAACCAAACCGGTTCGGTTCACATCCATGTACCCATGCTTCTCGATGTTTTTTGCCCCCGGCCGCAGCAGAATCACCATGTCGTCCAAGCCGAGTTCCTCGTCCTGCTGAACAGCCTTTGGTCCCCAGGATTCACCTTCTAGCCCCTTCTCAAAAGACTCAAAAGACTCCGCTTGGTCAACATGGTCAACGTTCAAACCCGCAGACCTAGGATATATTGCTCTTTGTTCATTTTAGTCAAGGGCAGCAATGGTCTCCAACGGATCGAGTGAGGTCCAAAGCAGCTGCGCCAGCCATGTCCACCTTTTGACCCCCTCCCATGTTTGGGGGAGAAAACATGCGGCAACACTCTTTGTTTGGCATGCTCCCTTGACTTCCCTGCGAAACAACCCAAAACAAGTGCCGCCGCTAGCAAACACCCAGAACGTAAGAGAAGAGGCTGACAAACATGTGTAACATCTGATGCAGGCACCCCAAGAAGGGTACTCTGGTCAGCGGATGTCAGCGGTTTACATGCATTCTCCCATGACCATGAGCCAATTCGGCTTGAACGCCCCCCCCCCCCCCTCCCAAAACCACATTCTGGCGACGGCGTATGCTGATTCGCTGCCCTGCCAGCCCGTCCTGATCCATGACCTGAACAGCAACCTGACGCAGGATCTCACAGATTCGCTCCTGGGGCTCTTAAATTACGACAAGAGACACTACCATCTGCCATGGTGGATTGCTTTTGTACACTCCACCGAAAGACCCTATTGTTTCCACGTCCCCCTGGGATTTTCTAAAGGCCGTGCCTAGGACCTTCTGCCATGGTGATCCGGCGCCTGGCGACCATCTGACAGTCCCAGCAGCGCGCTCCTGAGGCGCCATGGGGGGGGGGTGCGCAACCCCACCCCCAACTTTCCCGAAGAAAACCGACGAAATGTCAAAGAGGCGGTTTGTTTCAAGACTGGTTGAATGGTCGAATTGCCTTTGACTGGAAGGCCCCCGTGGCAACCGCTAGCTCCATGGCTTGCGGCTCATGGCTCCCTCTACTAAGCCGGTTTGTCGAGCCCTGGGCCCAGGTAGAAAAGGGAAGCTCTTTTGAAGTGGACAGCTTGTAGTGAGGGACCCCGCCAAATCAAAAGGCAAATGGGTGCCACTCAACAACTGGGAAACCGTTTCCGCCAGCCCAGTTGCCAGTTCCCCTTGCTCCATCTTGGAAAAACGGGGTGTGCACTCGTCCCGAACACTCTGAAAGGTGTATCGTCGTGTGTTCACTGACCCTTCGCCACTCACATCATGCGTTTGTGGGAGGGTTCCTGAAGATTCATTTCCTTTTTAACTTGCTGGCTCTCATTCGGGAATAGGGAATGAAATTTGGAATTCTCTCAAAGGAAACCAACAGGTGGATGGCTTGTCTAGGAGCCATTCCATTTCTCATTTCCCGCATCTCCCGCAGCGATCACAAGTCAGGGGACCCTCGCGCGGCCCCCGCCTCAGAGTCCGCAGGTCGCGGAGGATGGCGTGGCCTTTGCCTGCCTGGAAATCCTCGGGTTCGGCAAAGCACCCGCCATCCGCCAGTGGGGAAAATGGGAGGGGGAGGGGAATTGGGGGAAACGGGGGGAGGGGGGGTGGGGGGAAATGGCGAGGGGTACCAACTTGGAGTTTGGACTGAATTTCAGGGAGGACGTCTGTCAGAAAACCTGCGAAACGGGGTCTTGGGGTCTGAACACATGAGGCACCTGGCTGCCTGGATGTGGTCAACATCACCCTACTGAAAGGAAACTTACTTTGAATACAGGCGGGTAACATAATAGAACTGTGAGGACATGATGAGCTCTTTGCGCCTCGAGAAAGCAACGTGAATGCTCAAGCGGCTTTTTGCTGCACGGGTAGCATGCAAGTGAGCAGTCACGTCCGCTTTTGCCGAGTCTGTACAAGGGCACGGAAAGGGGCAAAGGGTACACAGGACTTGCTTGCGCAAGCAAGCAAGGCCTATGCTAGTTTTAGGCTTGAGGCCGGTTCACATAATGCTCACATGGGGTCCTTTGAGGACCGTGTTGGAGTGTTGTAGGTCAGCCGTGGGTGAGTGCTCACCCACTCCTCCCCTCGACGGGCGACCTTGCTATCCGGCAGCTTTACCTTCAACTCCTTCGCCACCAGCTTCATGACGTCGTCGCAAAGGCCCCATATTCCTGACAACGCCAGAACCGCCTGAAATACCGAGCCCAGGACATGCAGTACAACTCCTTGGATTGCCTTTGTTCACGTCAATCCAACACACAACAAAACCGGGTTGACAACTTTGGAAACACCCTTGTCTTCCCTTCAATCCAAAACGATTTCCACTGCCGAAGCCACTACCCCAGAAACAAACCGGATTTTAAACAGGTGCCACTTAGTGGCCGTGTATCCAGAAAACACGGCATGATCATAAGCGCTGTTAGTGCCCCTTGGCACCTTGTAAGGAGGTACATTCACCATTCCCAACCCTTCAACGGTCCTGAGTTCGGCATCTTATTCAAAACTATTCTCCAGCACGGCCCAAAGGCAAGCCGATTTTCAATACAGTGGCGACATAGTGGCCGTGCATCCCAGTAAAACCCCTTGAAATCAGTGGTGGGGGATGGCGGAAATGAGGGTCAAGGCTGGCAATACTAACCACAACAGCACAAGCTGCGGCAAGTTCACTTCTAGGCACGTTCTGTGTGCCTGGAGTCAAGCCGCAAGCGGCACAATCAAAATTGTCATGGAAGGGATGTCGGGCTGGAGCACGTGTGACGGCCTGGTGGACATCATCATGGTCAATCAATCTAGCCTGTTATGAACCCAGCACGCCAGGTGTCTAAGGCTGCTTGACTTGTCGAAGAAGGTCCGCTGCAAACCGATGATGACCAACCCCTCGCCCTGTCCATTCGCAAAGCGCTCGGCAGTCGCCGAGGCGATTTCATCACCTGAGTCCAGATGGATGGAAAGAATCATCATTGTCTTGCGGGACATGCAAAAGAAATCAAACAGCCATGCCACATTTATTTGTCATTCAACACCTGGAAAACATGAATCCACCCCCCTGTTTGGCCTCCAAATCCCCTTTGGCAACTCCAAAAAAAGGGAGGAATTCCAGTGATATTTTTGCGACACGCGGCTGGTCATCCCACAAAGAGATGTGCCCATGGCGATGCACAAACTGGCGCGCACGGACCATGCCACAAGCCAGTCAATGAGATCCTTTCGCAGGGTGTCGTCCATCATTTTCACCTCAGCAAGCTTGGGAGAACAAAGCGGGGGATACCGGGGCAGCGAGCATGTGCGAGTAAATGAAACATGTCTAAATATTGCCCGACAGATCTGTCCACCTGCTTCCCCGGTATCCCTGCCTGTTAGTTTGTCTGATCTTTAAGCTGACATGAGTAAGCAACAATACCAACCGAAACCGAGAGGGGCCGACCAAAAACCACCCGGCCAAACTGCAAAAACCGATACTCGAGTTATCTTATATTGCCTGTTGCACCCATCCAATCAATACACCAGTACACATATTCTAGACATCCTCTCATCCTGATGAATCACATTGCAGGGAGCAGATATGCTCGGAATCCCTTGTGCCCGGTTCACAAGACACCAGCTTTGGCACACAACAAACTTGAACGTGTACGCAAGTTTCTTGGGCTTTGGCTACGTCAGAGGACGCCACTCCCACTCCTTGCCAGTTTCTTCCCTGCAAGACCCCCGGGAAAGCGGGGGAAATGCGGCGTAGGGCCGTGTAGAGAAATTGAGCGGCGCCCAGCCGTTGACTTTGGTTCCACCACTATCGTCAAAAAGATTAGACAGGCCGTACTTTGTCCCCCAGTAACACCAAAAATAGTCACTAGAAGCTTGCGGCGCTAAACAGGGGCATGTCAGCCTCTCTCTGGCCTGGCTGGAGTTGTGCAGTGCAAAGGGTGGCCCGTGTTGCTCTGACCCCGAAGTTCTGTTCTCGATTAAGCAGGCGAGCCTGGGTGGAAGAACATGGCCTCCCACAATTAAGCCTTCCCTCTCTCCCTTGTTTTGCAGCACGGAATTCCCCTTGTCTTGAGCCATGGGAGCATGTCGACATTAGGCATCTATTCAAACAGTAGTGGGATTTCCTAATAGGTGCTCATTTTCGAGAATGAATTGGGGACAAGCTGTTCCAAAAACAGCTTCCACCCCAAGGAAACACTACAAACACGACTTTCAGCTTCTTCCATGTTAGTCTTCCCTGAAATCATTTTGGAGACCCCAGAAACGTATCCGCCTTTCGGCACTCAGCTCAGGGAATGAGAGAAAGAAGCATCGAATCCAGGACTCAGGGAGTGCGTCTCAGCCTGGGACCTAAAATTTGAGACATGGCCATAAAAGTTGGAACCTCAAAGGTGGTTGGTGGACAAATTTATTTTTGTGAATTTTGATGTTGATCAAAAGGGACCAAAGCACCATCCCCCACTAAATGCTCGAATCCCAAAAGGTTTCAAAGCCCGAAACGGAACTCAACTCAACTCAGTGAGAAATCTCCCCACCCCACTTCGCGAATTTCGAGCGGATCGAATCGAGCGGATCGAGTCATCGAGGCGCCTGGTTCTTGGTGTCGCCCCAGGCCCCGTGGATCTCGTTGATCTTGGCCTGCGGGAAGCCCGCCTTCTGCGGCAGCCGGTCGTGGTTCTGCTGCAGCAGGTGCCCGATGAGCCCCTTCTCCTCAAGGCCCGACCGGGCCGAGCAACCGGGGTTTCCGGGCCGGGGAAGAGCCGGAGGCCCAAAGGAATAGGGGGGAAAAGGGGGGTTCTAAGGTGAGGCGACGAAACAGAAACGAAAAGGGGGAACATGGGAATCCCAAAAAATCATTAAACAAAAATAAATAAATTATAGATAATGCAACAAATCCCCCTAAAAAACAGATTGGCAGACATGCCCGTTAGAACACGTCAAGGCTTCCTCTGCTTGAGCCCCGCCACATATTGAGAACCCCTCAATATGTTCACGTCAAGAGCAGCCAAACGCGCGCGCCAAACTGGACAGCGCCAAAAAGAACCAAACTGCAATACCACCCGGCGCCAAAATGCTAACAATAAACATACCAAACTCAATATTTCCAGGGCCACGGGGTGGCCGGGCTGTGGCGCGAGACCGGCGAACGCCCGGCTCCTCAATCGCGGCCAGCGCATGATGCGCGAGGGTCGGCTTCAACTCGAGGCGGCTTCCTGCCGAGGTGCCCTTCCTGAGACCGGCCACGGCTAGACCCAAGCGCCCATGACAGCCCCCTCCTCCAGTAGAGCGCTTAGAACAAGGGTACCCGATTTTTTTCTGTAGCCTATTTTAGTAGGGGAACCTCCCCAAAAAAGGGTAAGAGGGCACGACTGGGGGCACCTAGGCCTAACTTTTGCTACTGTGAAATCTCTGAGCCAAAGACATGTGGAGATGTAAGCCTTGCTTAAAGCCTAGCTACTGGTTAGACAGCCATCGGCACTTGGCTAGTTGTTGTTGGGGGTGGCAGGGCTCTCTCTCGGAAATCTGGACCACGAAAAGGGTCTTCATTTCAAGTCGAAACACAGCATTGACATTGGGATTTCTGTATTCCCGTGCCGGGGATTGTGGCAACCCAGAAGCCACCTTTCCAGAACCATGAGGTAGCCTCCCGCAGCCTGTTGCAAGCACTCAAGCTGCCGGGGCGCTTGTGGGGTGCAACAGAGGACCCGGCTTTGGAGGCGTAGTCCCCGATGCCGGAGGCGGTGGACAAACCTGCGCCCGTGTAGATCACGGTGTCTTGGTTGCTCCTCCGCCACATCTCCGCCAAGAGCTTCACTTTGGCCTAAAGGGGTGCTTCTATGGGGTTGTCTTTGCACAGGGCCACCCCCCCACCCCCCAAACCAGGTTTCCCTTTAAGTTCCGTTTAAAAGCATCCCAAAAAGGGTTCCCTCAAAAACAAACTTTCCTATATGGGCCGTGTTGCTGTTTCCTGCAAACCAGTGTGCACCCACCAAAGGTGTGCTCTCACTGGTATATGTAGGTTTTGCTTTTTTCTGCGGGGGGGTGCCCAAGAAAGCTGGAGCAAAGAGTTGGGTCAGCTCGTTTGCAGTGCGAAACCTTGTCTTTTCTCGGCTTATGGGAGGCCTGGCAGGAACTCTACGAGGTAGAGGCTGAAACATGGCTTAAGCCCAGGCACCCTGGTCCAAATATATGGCATTATATACCCCTTATATACTCCGCATATAGGTTGGGACCCGCCCCCAGTAGAAAGGACAAGGGCGAGTTTGTGCATTGCACTTGCCAAAGGCAAATGCCTGGAAGCCTCAAACTGATTGCCAAGTTCACTGATTGGTGGTTTGTTCTTTCCGGTGTGCCCCACTTTTTTCTCACGTTATGTTGATTGGTCTAATTACTTTTCTTGACGTGACAGGCAACGGAATAATGTGCAAGCCTACATTTTGGACCGTCCCGCAGTGGCTGGGTGCGAAGTCGTAATAAGCAAAATGAAAAGAGAAGTGGAACAAAGCCATCCGTGGTGCACTCTTGGAAGCTTACCCACGTATCCCCATTCCCCAGTGTTGTGACCTTGTCAGTTTTCAGAAGGATTCTTGAAACGAATATGTTGCGCTTTGAATAGTGGTACATACTGGGTCAACATCATGAGCCAAGTGTGACTGAAGGGAACACGCAGCCTATTTGCCATTTCACAGGGTTCACACTAGCTTCCTCTTTGCGGATGTAAACATCATCACCTCAAAGTAAGTTTTTAATTGGTGGGGTGATGATTGAAAAGGCATGACAGAAACCCCAGGCAACCCTGTAAAATTCTCAAATGTTGGTTGGACCTCCCGCCTGCGACCCGCTCGAAATCATTTCTGGTGTGAAACGCATTCTTCGTGGGGAGCCCACCAAACCAACAGGGATTAGTCATTTTGAGAACCCCTCAACTTGGTTGACGTTGGAAGGGGAGCAACCATTTAAATTGAGTGCACTCCACGTCGCGCTTTCCGGATTCCGCGCCTCGAGGACTGCCGGGGTATCCAGGTACTCCGAGGCATCGTAGGCGACCATGCCGGGCCGCGCCTCCGCGTCCGAGCGCGCGGCCACGCGCGGAGGCGCCCAGCCCATGGTGGCACCTCGGCCCCGCGCTCTGCGCTTTGCCGTGCAGGTCCCTGGTGCAAGGAAACCAGTACCAAACCATGGACATTTATAGGATTTTATAGGGTTTCCTTTGTTACCTGCTTGCAAATAATCTAAATTTGGGGCATCCAACGAAATACTTTCTGTGATGCCAAAGCTTATCAATTGAAGGCAAATTCCCCGACCATCACAAAAGCTGGCCCTGAAACCCAACAACCGACACACACGTCGCACCGGCAGCTGGGGCAATTGCTTTCTAGGTCTGTGGCCAAATACCAGGATGCCATCCAATTGCTCAATGCAGACCCAAGGGGCCTACCAGCCCATGCCACTGCACCGCATCCGGGTCTGGCGCCTGGCAATCTCCGTGAATCCGGGCCCTGCGAATGGGTGGCTTCCCTTACGTGGTTCCTCTAACCAGGTCCTCCAAATTCCGAAGCTACACTCCCTCAGACCAGCCAAAAGCTCCCCCAATTGGCCTGGAAGCTTCCATGCTAGTCTGGAGGGTAAAATAATTGGCTTCAGCGGAAACACTCAGCAATCGGGTCTGGTGGAGACTTGCACGCGCAAAAGGGCAGCCCCTCCACCGGAGACCCTGCCCAGTCTAGCCAGAATCTTTGGCTTGCAAGAAGCGAGCATAAACATGGGAGCACACGCATGGCCATACATGGAAAGCATACATTCTGTGATATCCCTGCGACTGACTATTTTGTCGCTTTCGACATGATTCCCGTGTCATCACAAACAGCGTCACAAAATCCAAATTCCCCTCAACTAAGAACACACAGGCTTCCAACAATGTCCAACGGATTTCTAATGACATTTCCGGGGTCTGCTTGGAAGTTCAATGGGGACACGCATTGATTTATGCACCCCTCATGATAATAGGCTAGGGTTGCTGTTTGTAGAGTAAATTCTTGGAGTGTTGGGGCCAGCACGCCCCCAAACAATCAACACAATTGATGAAGTTCGGGGTCAATATTGCCAACAAAGGACCTGGAAATACAAGCCAGGTTCACCCCAAGGTTGGTTGCCAAAACGAGCAACCCCAAAAGGTGAAAGCCAACATCTGCGTTTCGACAGGTACCCTTGTTGTTGTTTTCAGGGCAGCGAGTGAAGCGAGCCATTTTGCGGGTCGCCCAAGTTTGAGAAATACCTATTTTGGTGTGTGCCCGGTAAAGATCGCACGCCTTTTTGCTCGATTCGTTGTGGGCGATGGACGCCCCGCCTCGCCCGCGCACGCTGGCGGTGGAGGCAAGAACGGAACGAGCTCCGGCGTTGCATCAGAGACGGGCGGAGGCGGAGGCGGAGGCACTGCAACGTCAGCCATGGACCTGCGACGCGCAAAGGTCAGAAAACAACTCCTGCAGCGCAAATGGAATCCGAAGAGCCATCGTTTTGAGAGGAGTGTTCTTCAATGTTAAATCCTCCAGTGGACGACAAATTCCAGGCTGCACTGTCAATGGACGAAACCCGCTCTGCGCCAGTTGGTTTGTTCTGTAGCGGGTGTCATCCATCCAACCTGGTGCAGGATTTCGCGAATGCACTGTAGCAAGGGGAGCCACTGCAGCAAACAACTGTGACTATTCGGGGCCAATACGGACTTGATTAGCATCAATGACCTTGCCATGGCTCCCCTTGCCATGGCTCTGCAGCAGTGTTGTCAAAGCGCCATTCTCAGACCCCGGCCACCAGTGGGGAAGCCAATCCCGAAAAACAGGAAAGCAGGGCACCACTGGAGGTCCGAGTGCAGAATTTACGGACTTCAGTCCCCATTGGTCCGCCACATGCACGGGTCAAGCGGCCAATGCAGTCGCATTTCCTTCAACCAAAGCCGTTGACCCGTTGCTTAATTGTTGCAAATGGAAACGTGTAATTTGTTGATTTTCCCAGACCCCGGAATACATTTGGTTGTGGAGAGGGGGAAGCTGAGACTGTTTTGATCAGAACGTGGCATAGTATGTTTAAACTGCAGGCGGGGGCAATTGGCAAGGCCTTTATTTGGAACAACGCAATCCACATCAGGTATGTTTCAATGTCAAGCTAACGGGTTTCCTTCGCTCCAAGCTGTTCCGCGTAGAGATGATCAACCACCGCGGTAGATAAAAGACACGGGAGATGCGTTCCTTTGGTTTCCCTTTACCGACCGATGGTTCTGTCCTTGAAGGTCACCGGAGCAAACTCCCAAGATCCCCCCGACATACGCTTGAGAAGCGACCAATACTTGAGCATGCAAATACGCACGAATGAGAAGAACTAGCTTTTTTCCCGAACAGCTGAAAGCTTTGGGGTCTCAGCCCAGATAGGCTCCGGGGTGCACGAGGGTTCCACCATGGGTCCACCAGGGTTCCACGAGGGTTCCACGAGGTTCTGCGAGGGCTGCGGGGTGGTGCGAGCACTAAAAAGCGCACCGCATGCTGTTGGGGATATCACCTGAGCTTATTTGGCTATCAAGCATTGCCCTCTTGCAGGGGTTTTGACATGTTCGGACACACATTTTGGCTGGGTTTCCTTTTTCCCTCTACAACAGCCCAAAAAGGGTACCTTCACCAAAAAAAACATCAAGCACCCAGTTGGTTTTGGGCTGATTCGATAAAGTTTGACCACCTCAAATGACATTCTTGCCGGGGCGCGCCTCAAGCTCCGGTCTTGGTGAAAACCGGCTGCGGGTTTCCGAATCCGCAAAGCTGCGGTGCTGGGGAATGGGCCTTTGGACATCATGTAGGGGAGTGTCCACCAACAGCTTCTGTGGTTATCTTCTCAAAGCTCATAGCCATATGTTCCCCCCTTGCCAAGAAAGCTCGCGTGTGAACTTGTAAGGCAAGGATTCAACCACTCTTCTGTTTTCTGTGGGCACCACTTCTCTGTCCACAATCCGTGCGTTCCTTTTGCAGCTTAATTCCCCAGGGATCGTCATGACATATGGGAAGACCAATCCACCGGAGAATACATACTCATCTGCGTACAAACCGTGGAATTGCATGGAACCACCCCTCCAAATTGGGGATGTCCCCCCAAAGGAGCCTCTGAGAAGCATGCATTTTGGGGTTCCATGTTAATCTGGCGAGCCCTTTTGAAAGACTGTCCCGAGCAAAGGGGGCATTGGCACTCTACAATTCAATTCATATCTGGAACCTGAAACGCCCATTTGAGCATTTTCCATCAAGAAGCTCTATTCCTGGGTTTGTTTGGCGGGAAGCCATTTGTAGATGGTTGCGACGCAGGTTCCAGGCAGTTCCCAGCCCTCGAGCTGAGCTCCGCGCGCGGAGTCGCAGCCGCTTCCAGGTGGAGGGAATCTCCACCTGACAGCAGGTGCTGGTTGGGGGGGGGGGTGCGGGGGGTGGCGGGGGGGGGGTTGGGGCTTCATGCTTGGGGGGCCGAAGCAAATCCACATGGCAAATCGATTTCCTCGAAAGGTCCATGAAAGCTCGGATGCTCTTTTTCTCTTGTGCCCCATGGCCCATGGTGCCGCCTTGTCAGACCTTGCCACCAGGGGGGTCAGGCGTGCTTTTTCAGGCCAAGCTCGTTGCGGAAGCCCCGGCATCCGGCTGTGACATGTGCGCCCCGGAATCCACACGAGCCGGGCCAACAGGCCCTCCCGAAGCAATTCTACAAATCTCAGCGGCTGGGCCAAAAAAACAGCACCCCCATGCCCTGAAGGTCCCAGTTGGAAACACCTCAGTGCCAATCGACCTCAAAGGAGCTTACCCAAAAATTACCAAGGAATCAAGCGGGCAGACCAAGAACGCCAATTGTGCAAAAGGGCTCCCCTGAAGGAAGTTGATACCCCGCCAACTGCCCCCCTCTGTTTCAGAATGCGCAAACAGACGAGGCTTTGCCCAACACACTGCCTCTGTCATCCCTGTACTCGTCTCGTTCAAGGTTTCCTCCTGTTCCTCCTGTTTGTTTAATAATTATTTCATTTTGAACTGGGTTCCGTACAGGATACATCTAACAACCAGCTGCTTGACAAGGATTCGGATGCTGCGAGTCAGCTGGGGATTTTGAAACTAGCCGACTTACATCCACTCAGGTACCATGTTTCGGGGACCCGGTGGCAACTACAAGGGCAACCCCCCAAATCACCTCGGAGCTTCTGCTTTTTGTTTTTGTTTTGGGCGGGGCGAATTCTCACTGGGCTCCGCACCTCCAAATCTGCCTGGGACTTGGCCCAAGTGGCGAGAGGCTGGAGCAAGGCCTCCCGCAAGCTCCTGGCAAGGCCAAACCTCCGACTGGCTCTCCCAGCTCCACTCGGGCAAAGTTCGGGTCCGTGTCAAAGTAGGGGTCTCCGTTTTGGGTTGGGTTCCCTTTAAACCAAACCCCAAAGGGGTCCCTCAAAATAGACCCTATTTTGAGGGTTCTCAAAATTACTTTTTGCAATGGAGTCCTGGTCCCTGTTTCTCAACGGTTTGACTCCACCCCCCCCTCCCCCCGAAAACTGTGCACAGTGCACAGTCGCTAAACATACAATTTGACAATCGTCTCCTACAGCTTTTTTCTGACTCGGCGAGCGGGTTTTGGGTGCTCGACCAGTTCCTGCTGCTTTCAGGACTTTTCAGCAGCTTCTTGCTAAAACCTCCCCACCATTGCCAAGACCCTGCAAAACAACATGTGCCAAAGGACGATGCTGGGAACTGCTGAAGTGAGCATTTCGGGTTCTCAAATTCGCTCTGAGTGCGGTGTCCCTACCGTTTGGAGGGTAGCTTTAAGACCCAGGAAAGGGAGTGACCCTTTCGTGAACGGGGGCACCTTTCCGTAGGTTTCTTCACACCTTCCCCGGACTCAGTCGCGGGGTTCGTCCGGGATTTTCAAAAAGCGGCCCATCCAGGACGCCTCGGGTAGCCAACCGTCCGCACTTCCCAGCTCTGGTGTAGTTCTCCCAAGTCTGTGCTTCCTTTTTGAGGCTCGGGGCCTTTCTTGTCCAGGCACCTTCCCTCCCGGCGGTCCTCACCGAGGAATCCCCGCGCGCTGGGAAGGTAAAGGCATCTCGCACCTGAACAGCAAGTATGTAGGTGCCATGCGCAGCTCAAACTCCCTATGTCAGTCGTGGCCGGGGGTTAGTTTGATCCATTTACTTGTCGAAAGCTGTAGCAAAGGGGTCATGACCAGCCTGAATTTCATGCCAATGATGTGGTGAAGCACGGCTGACCACGTGGCAGTCTCAGAGGTGCACTCAAAGTCCTTCTGGCCACGGCCTCTTAGGGTGGGACCCACGGCCATCCATCCAAAACAAAGAAGGAAAGAAAGGTGTTAATCGACCATGGTACATGTGGCAACAACCCAACAAATGATGTACACAAAAGAGGCATCCAACGGATGCAAGCTTGTTTCGCATTCCGCTGAGTTGCCCTTGAGGGGTGAGTCTGTAGCTCAACACTTCGCAACTTTTCAGAGAACCAACAGGGCTTCTTGTCCAGCGTCTGGCGTTCAACTGACGTTTGAAAAAACCAAAAACAAACCCCAAATGTCAGCGTTCCTATTTTCCCTTTCAGCCGCCGCCTAAAGGGACGCTCCATTTGCCCATTTGGGATTGCCTCGGGTTGCCCCTGGTGTGGTTGGCGAATCGATCTTGCTGGCGACTAGGCACCGGCGCCTGCAGTGGCTTGCCTTTGTCGTAGCAGTACAGCACGACCTGACCGCCGACATCGGGCCACCCATTTCAAATCCCAAAGGAGAATCCAGTACAAATGGAGTTTTGGGGCTGCTGCAACGGGGTATTGGTGGTGAACGGCAAATCTCTCCGCCCAAAAGTAATCTCAAACGAACCCCAGTTTTAGACATGATTTACCCGTCATGATGCAAACCGGACCAAACGCCTAGCTGTTTTGCCTTGATCCCTGCACCCGACAGGCAAACCGCGTTGTAAAATGGCCAGCTTGGTTCCAGGGAACAAGGCCTGCAATGCTTGATCCTTCCAGAGAGGGCATGTGAAGAGCTTGACAGGGGTCAGATTTGTCAACATCAAGGTTTGAGCTCTGACTCTATGTGAAGAAGTGCCTTGTCGACCCAGCCGACTGCTTCCCACAACGGAATCCAAACACCGCTCCGCCCCAAACAAATCACACCAGGCGGAAATCAGCATGCAAGGATTAACATCAAGACAACTGGGGGCGAACCTCGTGCCTCATTCACAGGCGTCAAACGAAGACGTCCCTCTTTCCAGAGCGTAAAGGAGGTGGGCTCGAGTCTCTGAAGATCACCCCACCCGAAACAAACTCGGCGTCCGATGAAATAGGCCAAACGGATTGTACAGGGCAAAATGTGAACCAACTCCCTCAAAACTTCTCGCTTTTGGGAGCGGCCGCGTAAAACCTGGGTCTAACTCAATCTATGTTAGTGACATCCTCATCATCCTCCCGATTCAAAAAAAAAAGGCAAGCCCACAACACGCTTTGGAGCAGCCCTCAAAGTGGAATCCCTTCTGCCGTTCCTCCCCCTCGGAGCGCGAGCCCGCACGCCTTCAGCAGCACCTCCTCTGGGGCGCAGGGCGCCCCATGGCCCACGAAAACGCTTCCCGCCTCCGCCAGACCTGCCTCAGACGAGTCAGGAGAATTTCTCCCCGTGAGTCGGATTGGTTTAACTCGTTGGTTGGGTACTTGTTCTCGGCTGGTTTCCCACTTACCTCAGGCAACCTTTAGTTGGTGGTTTGGATTCGTTTGTTGTTTGAAGGTTGGATTTGAACCTCTGGTTGTCTCGGGTAGTTTCCCATTTAGCGCGCAGGCAGCCCTTAGTCGGTGGTTTGGATTAATCCGCTTTGAATTTGGATTTGAATCCCGGCTTCTTGTCGAGGGGAAATGGGAAACCATGCCTTAACCACCAAGCCAACAATTGCAACCAACTGGGAACACCTAAACGACGCGTTCACTTTTCCCTTCATGGCTTAGAGGTGAACAGTTTGCCAGCGGGTGAGCCTTTGGAAGCTTTCCGCGAATAGTCTGGGAAACCCCCGCCAAAAGGCATCTGCAGTGTTGTCCCATTACAAAGAAGCTTCGACCCAAGGGTTTGAAGCCAGTTTGGGGAGTAGCACAGCACATGGCACCCCGCCATCACATCCTAACATAAATTAGCCACGTGCTCCTGACTAGACATGCTCATGTGAGTCATGTGCATTCTATGTACCCATTAAATTACCCTCCTCCCGCTAAATATAACATGAAACCTGCTGGGGGGGGGACATGTTTCCTGTCGACAGGTCTTCGAGTGGGTTTGTTGGTGGCGTGCTTGTTTCACAAGGCGTTTCAGAGCGGCAGTTATGATTTGTCGGCTTGCCCAAGAGGCAATTTGGCAATTGGACATCGCAGTGTTGTTTGCATTTGGCAAATGGGGTGCTGGAATCTACGTGGGTGACTTGACCCACGCGCAATGCTCAAAACACCGGACCAGAGGCTTGTATAAGCGCCCAAACCACCCCAAACTATTAATTATTGGGACCCGTCCCAGTATTGGGGAGGCTCCGCGTGGCAGCACCTTCCAATGACTTCCGCGGTGGGCAGGAGGGCATCGCAAAAGCCGGTGAGGAACTTGAGGGGGCAAAGTGAATGATTAGAAAAAGCCCTGGCCACGTGTTCTGTTGTTTGTCGGCACCCACATGTTCTGTCTTTCATTCATTATTTTTTTGGGGGGAAGGGTTCTCCTTGGCTGTCCTGAAAACGTGCCTCAACCTCCGCTCTTGGTGGGACAGGGTTGAATTCCTTTGCCCCAAGGAAGCCGTCGGCACGCGCATGGGGTGGATTACTTCAATGGGCAAGGGAAAACGTCTTGGATGACTACGCGTGGCGAATATCTCCGGTTAACAGGTCTTCCGCAAGGGTTTACCTTAGCCTGAGCCACCTAGGGGCATCTATTGTCTGGGGAAATTAACGACTTGCCGAGGAAGGGCTTCCAAGTAGGGACAGTGGGATATGCCCAGGTATTTGCCTCTAAAACGTTGCCCCTACCAAGGGAAACTGGCTGCCTGTATGGGCCACTTTTGATGTTCAAAACCGCCCAAGAGCCCCAGCTACGAGAGGTTTCGCCTGCCTGGCGCAAGCTCCGGGTCTCGTCCTTGAACATGGCAGGCCTGAGAAAATCAAACGTGAAACCCAAACAGGGCGTCTCCTGTTGGCTTTCTTTGGATACTCCCCTACAAGTTAAAATAAAGCCCAAAAGGGGGTCCGATTCTCAAATGGAGCTTCCTCATGGTGGTTTTCGGGGCTCCATGCGAATCTGTAGCGGGGTAAACTTATACGGGCACATCGCAAGAGGTCCGGCAGCCGGATGTCTTAGCTTCTTTTTGCCGTCCTTTTGGCTTCTTTTGGCTGTCCTTGAAAACCGTCTCAAAAATGATACCCTAAAAACAGGCAGACTCATTTGGGCGCTTGCGTTTTTTGTTTTTTTTGTTGCTGTGTGTAAAATGAGACTCTGGAAAATTTACTTGAGGGGATTATCAAGAGATGGTAGACCTCATCTACAGCACCTTGAATCCTTCTCGACTGGCTCGCTATCCTTTGTGTGTGTGCAGTGGGATCTACCTGCAGTCACTGGATAAATCAGTCTGGTGGATTCAAAGGATAGTCAACCAGAGGTCCATTAAGCAACTGGGTTTCCATGACACCTATAGTGGGAACCCAAGTGACAGCGCCTCTGGTTGATAACGCAGGTGTGCGACCCCGTTTTGGACGGGATCCTGAGGGGTGCAACAAACAAACCACTTAGGTCAGAGGCCAGCTGCCTCACCACTCTCAGAGGATGAGCGCGGCTGCAACTCTGAAGCTGTTCAGCTCAAGCCACCTGGCGTTTCACACTTCCGCAAAGCTTTGTTTCTCAACTTGTGGCGCGTTATTGCCTGCCTGAATTCGAGTGAAACCATGCCGAATTCGGGAGAATTCGAATCCTAGCTACTCGTCGAAGAGATCGTCGGTTTTGGTGAAGTACTTGATCTTCTGATCGATGGGCACCACCACAGACAGCACTCCTGCAAGCTTGTCCCACTTGGCGTTGCCTCAGTTTGACAGGCCGAAAGTGTCCACAGCGCTTTTTCCCTTGCCTTCCCCAAACGAGGATCCAACCCGAAATCCCGTGATTGCCTCCAAATAACGCCACAAGAGGCCCCAAGTTAGGGTCTCATTTTGGGACAACACGATTCTGCTGCTTTTGAGGCCCGGATTAAGAACCCAGAACTGACCTTCTAAGTCTAGGGAAAATAAAATTGGGCGTCAAATCGGGGGGCCCAGACTCGTGGCTTCCTTTGGTACCGCATCTGAGGGCCATGCTTGCGAACGAGACCCACCCCTGACCGCCTCACGCCACTCGTGGCTTCCTTTGAAGACCAAATCAAACACCACACGCAAACACCCAAATGTACTTTTTTCAAGTTGGCCTGAAAGGAAACCGAAAGGACACACCTCCCCGTCCGCCATATGGCTGTGGGTCAAAAATAGGTACCCCAAATGGAACCCTAGTAAGTGGAAACATGGACCAAAACCTGCAAACCCCTCCTGTTTAATTTTGACCCATACCCATATGTTGGACGCTCAATTTCCCTAATTGTTTGACACACATGCCCCCACTGCTTTCTTCCCGGTTGCCGGCATCTTTCCGGACCTTGTGGGGCAGTGCGAGGTTCAGCTGGTGCTTCGGGGCCTGCAGCAGCACTCGGTCCTCCAGCACCTCCAGGGAGATGTCCTTGAGCTGCGTGCCGGGCAGCCAGATCTTGATCAGCAGCTCCTACTAGGGCTCTTGGAGCTTTTCGGGGCAAAGGAATGAGACCCTAACTGGGCAACTTAGGTTTCCAACATGATTTTCCATTGGCCATTTAGGTTCAATTTCCTTTCTCGCCCCTGGAAAACATAACCATAAATCCAGTAGCGACAGATTCCTTTTAAGACCAAAAGGGGAACATAAAACGTGTTCATTTCAGCAAACGGAAGTAGATGCTCTCTATTTGCGCCTTGGCTTCAACATGTGGGGGGTTGATCAAAAGGTCCGATGAACATGGTCCCCATTAGGGAAACCATCGAGCAACAAAAATGCCGGTCACCACCAAAAGAAGGGGACACGTTGATTATAACACTCTCGAGTACCTCACTTCCCGAGTGTATGGCCCAAAGAAAGTCAAAACTGAGTGTATGCCACTAGACTGAGCTTCCCAAAATGTATAGAGTCCATGTGAGATACTCAACCGTGGGTTTCTGAATCAAGTGGTAACCAGCGTTACTAACCACTCACATGGGATTGTGTCGACTTTTTCGAGCCCGACATCGGCGCCTGACATCGGTCGCTGGAAGGGTCCATCTCCTGCAGGTTCATGTACGCATCCGATGCATTCAGCTTTTGCCGGGGCATCACCTCATATCCTCGGCCACGGCCACTCCTTTGGCTCTACCCTGACTGGGGTTCCCTATGGTTGCTAGTTCGGTGGTTTGTGAACATCACCTTTCGGGCCAATCTTAGGTGAGTTCCCTTTGGGATAGAGAGACCCCGGCTGACCAGTCACTATAAAACCAGAAATGGAAAAAGGCGACCACTGCACCAAACACAGGGGGCACAATGGAAACAAGGAGGCAGAACATTTATTCAAAATTTAGGGTGCAAGCCTACAACAGGGCAACGGTGAGGGAGCGGGCCCCATGGGCGATGTCCTTTAGGTTGTTTTTGAAGACAACATTGCAAAACGGGTACCCTCCAAAACGAGATATGCCCGCATGATCAACGCATTCGAATCCAGAAAATACATAAGGCTGAAAGTAGATGGCACAGTCCCTCTTTATCTGGGTACGTGAAGGGACATATTAAACTATTTTTGGGGAATTGTTCCATCTACGTTCACCCAACTGTAAAAGGCTTGGCTTTGCACTGAGGATCTGGGGATGGCGCGGTCATCGCCTTCCGCCTTCACCACCACTCCAGATGAAGCCTTGAACTCTTCTGGCTGCCAAATCGCTTGGGTGTCCTTCCTGAGCAGCAACCAAATGTGTGTGCCTTTCAAAGGCGGGCGGGTCTCAAAGATGTGATTTCCCTTGTGGTGTCCCTTTAAACCAAGGTGAAAGGGGCTACACACAAAGCCACATGTCCTGGGGGAAAACTCCCCCCCTATGGAACTCAAGGACAGTTACCCTAGGTGCCCCCAAAAAAAGTTAACCTGCTTAGAGGGACGGGGTACTTGTTTTGTTTGCATTTGGTTGCCGCAGTCGCAAGTCATGTATATAAGCGGGTTTGTAGCAAAACTGCACTGCCCGGAAAACGTTCTAGGCACCTTCCCACCAAGGGGCGGAGGGAAGGGGGGGGGGGGGCAGCCTCCCATCCACTAAAAATCCCGACTGTGCTTCCTGGAGCACAGGTTTCCTCAAAACGGGACCTTCAAGTTCCACGAAACACACAAGCCGGCTGCCGGGTGGCTTCTTCGGCTGCCTCACTGCCACCTTCATATTGGGAGCTGCTTGGCTTGGTTTGCCCCCCGCCAGGGCAGCTGGGTGCAGAGATGGGGGCTTGCTCCTCTCATCCTGCTCCTGTCAGGGTCATGGAAAATCACCTGGGCCAGCATGGGCCGTTCCCATGGCCAGATTATTTGGGTGTGGCTCAAAATTAAGAAGCTGAGGTTGCGCAGATTTTAGTCTTTGGTTCCATTTTGGTACAAGTTTTGGAACCACAGCCATTTATCACTTTGAAGGGGATTCCCCCTTTGTATCACAGTAACCATGGTCAGGGTTGTGCAGAATATCCTGGCAGCCATTTCGGTGATAAGGGGGTGTACGGTTGACCCTGAGTGAACATGGAGACGTGCCCTTTCTTTTTCTGTGATGCCAACCCAAAACTCCAGCGCCCTTGGGCAAACCGGAACCCTTTCTACTTTTAAAAGAGATTCTTGGACCCACAGAAAGTGGACGATTCCCATATTTCCGCCCATCTCCAACTGATGTACGAGTTGTGAGCTCTAGAGCAGAATTTGTACCCCCGAATGGTGGGATATTGGTCTCCCTGCCTTTCAACACGGTCCAAGGGACCCCCCAAGAGTCATCCTTCTGTTGGGAAAAGCCAGCAAATAGGGGAAGTTATCGGGCACCCAGGGTGCCTTGAATGCGAAGCACCACAAAAGTGTCCGAGTCTCCACAGCACTCTGATCGACATGGATTGGACGACTACGGCTTCTGAAAACCCGCAGGCAGTCGTTTCAAGAAGCCCTGCCTCGTGCTGGGCAACGCCAAGTAAATCCATGAGGCCAGTCATCTGCTGGGCGCTAATGCCCGCATCTGTCCCGAGGGCCGACATGGCGCTGACTGGGTGACAGCTGGATCTCGTGACTGCGGGCCCTGAGCCAACAACATGTCCATTACGCCCAGGCAGAAGTCAGGATACAAGAAGCGCATGGGGCATCCGGTGTGTTACATAGGGGGACATGGCTTCGCTCCGAAGGAGTCGCTGCATGGGTCTCTGGGTCCGCCGTCAAGATGGAACCCCCAAAAACCAGCACTTCCAGAGGAAACTACTTGGACATGGACACCCCTGTTGACTACATGTTTTATATTGTGGGGGTGCAGTTGGGTGAAAATACATTGGCATATTCTGTTGGGTTAGCCACCCTCCTTTGCTTATCCAAACAAAGAAAGCTCTGCCATCTCCTTTGTCACCCTGGTGTAACAGCGGTGGATCCCCTTGAAACTCGGACACCCCCCATCCCCTCAGTGAGACCCCGAGTAAAAAGGTTTTGATTCAGTGTTGGATCGCGGGTCTGGACACACCAAACACTCTTGTTTTAAACATATCCATCCCTATTGTAAGTGCACAATTAAAACCCCTACCCAATCATTTTCTGGGCCTTCCCACACCCCACCTGCAGCCCCCAAGCCAAACATTCAACGTGATAAGGTTTCCAAGCTCACACACACCCGCGATTGGTAATTTTGGGCTCAAAACAAAACTCTGATGTTGCCATTTAAAGTCCGTTTGCCCAGAAGACCAGGAAGTCAAGAACCGAAAAGGCTCTCCAGGTTTTGGTTCCAGTTCAATTGGCTGAGGGGCCAGAAGCAAAAGGATGAGGACAACGCAACCAAATCAAAATGGGGGTCCTCCAAACAAAAACTCAGCTTCGCTTGTCCAAACCTTGTCGACCTTGAAGGGGGGGGAGGGGCGGGGGTTCAACAAATCAAACCTATGGGGGGGCCCTGTACTAGTCATGCAGGGTAAATCCTTGGTTTCCTTCTAAACATGTAACGCTTTCCTTCAAAACAACCAATGGCTTCCTTCTGGACCATTGGTTGGACCATTGGTTTCCTTCTACAAATCAAGCTTAGGGGGGTTTAGGGAGCCCTGTTACTACTCAGAGTTCTCTTTTTTCATTTCCCCCCGCAAATGGTCCAGCTACTTGGCACCCACTGGCCGCCTTGCGGCCGCGTGCTGCTGGCGGCTGGCCTTGGGCCCCCGGGCGCGTGCTGGGACCGCGCCAGGTGCAGACTCCCAGGCGCCAGCTGCAGCTGCGCCGCGATGCGGCCCTGGACAGGGGCTCGTTGCCTCGTTTCTACCCAGGCGATTCTGGTTTCCATGGAAAAGCTCCCAGAACCCCATGGAGGACCTGGTTCCATTTAGCTTCTGTGGCCTTCTGGGAGGTCCGGCTGTTGGTTTGAGGGAGGGTATTTTGGCCATCTGGCTTTGTGCTAACAAATGGGCTCCTTTCCGAGCTGATTTGAGCCTGTGTAGGGCCCTGATCTATTCCCAGTTGCCCGCTACCCCTGGCAGCAGATTTGGGTTTCAAAACAAGGGCCATTGCTTGCCCTGCAAACATAGATCGCCTAGAAAGGCCAAATGGCGTCTAAGGGTCCAGCAGGGCCGGCCAAAAAAAGGTGGAATTGTATTCCATTGATGGCGAGCGATACAACATATAGGTTAAGTCTCCGAATTGGACAGCCCCAAATAGGTGATGTCACTGGTTTCCCTTCGAAGCAACCTCAAAAAGGGCACCAACAGAACGGCACACTCAGACACTTAACACAAATAGTATTAATTATTTTCCCGCAATTGCGTTCGTAGTGGCAGTTGGATCAGGTTTGTCAAGCGTGAAACGAAATGTGATGTTCACTTGTCACCTTCCTCCCCTCCCTTGGCAGGCAAACAATGCCCCCTGGCGTTTGTTTTGCACGGGGGATCATGCACCATGGTGCCCTTTTTTCATTGCTTGAGTTGAGCCAGTGCCCAAGACTGCATTGGCTTCCACACAAGGCTTTACAAATCATGCAGGAGGGGTGGCTGTTGGAATCCGTCCTCTTTCCATTGGAACAAAATCACTAGCAGGCTGGAGCCTCCCGTCGTAGGTGAACCGCTTGTCGCGACGACAAACATCGGGATATTTTGACAACTTGCTCCACCCTGCTAGCTGTGCCATGCGAAATTCCAACGGCTCGTGCAGTTTGGGGGCTCTGCAGGTTTCTTTTTTCACGGAGAAAGCCACAGCCCCACAGCCACCATTTTCCTTTGCCCAAGCTCCATCTTCTTTGGAGCGCAAGCTCCCCCAAAGCTGCGATTTGTGCCCAACTTTGAGCGCAAAAACACCCCCAAAGCTGCTAGAAACCCCGCGTGCACTGGAGGCTTCAAGCCGGGAGGTGAAAGCTGCAAGTGAACTTGTGGCAACATCCCAAGGCACTCACAGTGAATCGTCTTTCCAGTCGAAGCCAACTTCCCGACTGTGGCCAAAGGCGTCCGATACGCTGCTCTGGGCTCGGGGCTGCGAGCCCCAAAGAAGCCTGGAGCCGAAGTCGGCTGAACAGGACGCTGATAGGATGCTAAGAAAGGAAACACTTTTCAATTTGGAACCCTGACGTTTTGAAAAGTGAGAGAGGTGCGCCCAGGATTTTTCTGGGGATTTAGGAAAATGGCAACTGGTTGCAGACATGCGTCGCCGCATATTCTACGAACTTGAGGTTTGGTTTGGTCATCTTTGGGCCACAAGGGCAGCATGAGACGAGGGTTGTTCCAATGTCCAAAAAAGGCCACAACTTGGAATCCATGATGTTCCTTTCCAGAGGCAAACAAAAACAGGGCCCAACAAACACGCATGCCACTTGCGTAAGAACCCTGAGTTTCTTGAAAAACTACGGGTTTCACAAAAGATTGAACAGTCAAAGTTCACAAGAAAAAGCAACCGCCCAATGGACCAGCCACTCCCAGCCACGCAGCCACTTAGCCACCACTCAGCCATATCGCGACTCAGCCACTCAGCCACTCGGTCACTCAGCTACCCAACCACGCCACGTAGCCACTTAATCACTTAATCACTTAGGCACCACTCAGCCACTCAGCAGCACAGTTACTCAGTCACTCAGCCACTTAGCCACTGTTGAGAGTGGCTAAGTGGCTTCCTTTCTCGCAACAGGCTCACCTTTCGTCGACTCAAATCGGACCAAGGAGCAGTAGGCCCAAAAGGCGGAAAACCGCCAAAAGCGCCGCCAGCATTAACAAGTTGTACCACACCGACGCCTCCGTCGAGCCTGGCGCGGGCGGCCTACGGCCTACGGCAAAACACCGTAGGTCACCCAAGTCAGTGGTGACAAGTACAGGGCCTGGAGGAATCAAAGAAACTAAATTGCAAGTCGAGAAATCTCATCCAAAGAATTGAGAACATAATATTAATTATTATTCAGAAAAAATTGGGAAAATCAATTCAGAACATTGAGAGAACGACTTGATCCCAGCTCATCTGGTCTCACAATGACGAAGCCGCCCAACCCGTGCTAACCTCTTTCCGCTGCCTTTGCAAACGCCCAGGCAAGCAAGCAAGCAAGCAAGCAAGAGAACAAACACGCAAACAAACCAACCAAACAAACAACCAACCAACCCACCTAACAAACAACCAAACAAACCAAACCAAACAAACAAGCGAGCGAACAAACCAGCAACAACCAAACAAACACACAGAAACAAACAAACAAACAAACAAGCAAGCAAGCAAGCAAGCAAGCAAGCAAGCAAGCAAGCAAGCAAGCAAGCAAGCAAGCAAGCAAGCAAGCAAGCAAGCAAGCAACCAACCAAGCAACACAAATCACAACCCTGACTTGCTCAAGCCCCCCGTGAAAGAAAGGTGACATTTTTCCAGTAGGGTAGATTCTCTTTAAAACCAACGGGGGGGGGAAACATGACACGATCATAGGTGTCCTTTTAAGGGGAAAGAGATGGGTTTCCCTGGTAGATGATTAAACCACCTTTGGTAAACCAGGGCCATCGATCTTTCTAGCAAAACAACCAAAAGGGCACCTATGGACACGATGCGCAACTGGGGCCTCGTGGCCAGCTCTCGTCCATCTCCAGAAACTTCAAGGCATCCTGCCGACGTGTCCCAAGTCACGTTTGATTGAGCCTTGCCGTAGGATCCGTAGGTTTCTGCCGGATTCTCCGCTTTTTGCCGATCTCGGCGGATACATCTGGGCGATCGCAAGCTGAGATGTCAACTTCTGGATAAACAGTCCACCCTCCAAGATGGACCCAGGGATCCCAAGAAACCCTATGGCTCCAATTGAAACTTGAGAAAACCCCAGGCGTGAAAGGAGAGGTGTTTGGCTTAGACCCCAGTGGATGTATGGGGAGAAAAGAATTGGCACCCATTGTCTCTCAGTAGGTTGTCTTTAAAGGGAAACCTTCCAAAACCCAGGGGAACCAGGAAGCAATCCACATGTCGAGAGAGGGACCGAGCTTGCAAATCGGTTCGATCCTGGCAGGTCAGGACCGGACAGGAGCCGGACATCTCCAGCTGCCGCTTGGTGCAGCAGAAGTCGCAGGGCGAATTCTCGCAGTCGCCGGCGTACTTCCAGATCTTCGGGTCGCACGCCTCAAAGGGGCGGGAGGTGTTTGCGGGTTGGGGAATGAAGGAAACCCAAAGGGCAAAGGCTAGTTAAGCCTAGCAATGATGATAGGCCCGGTGAACTGTAATTCACTAACTCTGAACCCAGGTTAGTGAATTACAGTCGTAGAAAACATGTTGGTTATAAGTTATAACATAGAGGCCGGATCGTAGTCCGCCTTTCATTCCAAGGGAGTGCCCACCAGCACCAACCACCATCAAGGGAACCGAAGCGTGATGTTAATCACCTGGCCCAGGACAAGTAGCCCATGAAAACGTCAGGCTGGGCTGAAGCAAATCGGCAGAGCCAGACTTGCTGAATGGCATGCAACCTTCTTAGCTGTCCATGGCAGGGTTCGCTATATTCGCCCTTCAAACTTTTTGAGAGGAAACTCTCTTTGAATTGCCTCAAAGGGCAATGACCGAAACGAGCAGAGTGTTGGGAGCCCTGCCAGTAGGTCAAGTTGCATGGGCCCCTTGGCTTTGGTTGGAATGAGAGGTCTTATGCCCACTCCGAGCTCAAGCCGGGATGTGAAAGTAATGATTCACAAATCGAAACAAAGAACCCTCATGCACACTTTTCGAGGGAAGGCTCGTTCTACTCAAGCTCGGTTTAACTTGTGAAACAAGTTAAGGGTGTTAAGCAGGGGGGTTGAGACAATCCTTTCTTTTCCGGCTGCATGAAAGGCAAATCAACACACATTGGATGCTCATCCTACTTTCTCATCCTACTTAGAAAGTAGGATACGTCCATGGTTACAGCTGGGACAACTCCCCGGTTCCAACCTTCCGAAGTGGTTTTAACATCCAATTGCCAGCACCTCTCTAACTTCCCCCCCAAGCCGCACCCCAAAGGCCCCCCAAAAGCCAAACCGCCCAAAGCCCCCAAAGCCCACCCACCCCAAGCCGCGCGCCGGCGGAGTCGGCGCACAGCTGAACTCGTTGCGGACGATGGCCTGCAGCGCGTAACGGGCCACCATGACATAGCTCATGGCGTTGAAGGGCTGCGGCAACCTCAGATTGGTCGCATGGGGTCGCGAAGACCTTGGTCTTGGTCTGTCTGTTACCCTTCGAACGCTGTCCCTTGGGACACTCAAAGAGCGTCAACTCGGGTGTCTGCTGTAACACACACACACACATATCTCGGAATCTCGGAAGGAAATCGCAAAAAGGTCACACATTGCGGAACGTCGCTGACGAACAGCGACTTTCAATTTTACCTCAAATCAAACGCAGCCAAGACCGGACCTACCCAACCGAGCGAAACGGCCCGCTCGCTCACCGGCTGCAAACGTCCGAGCCACTGATCCACCGGCATAAAGAGCCCCGACAACCTCGGTCCACGACTCCAAATCCAAGTTCTTGCGGGGAAATGTAGGCAAAGAAATCACTTAAGAAGGCAAGCAAAGACTGGCAATGTAAGGAGGGCCCCCGCAAGCGGGGCCATTCCCCAAAAGGCGACCCTCCAAATGGGGATTCCTCTCAACATGCAACTGTTTGTTTGTTCTATTTTTTTCGAGGGAGGGGAGGGGTGCGGCGGGGGTGGAGGGGGGGGGCAAGCTAGCTTGCGATCACGCCAATCTGGCCCCCCAATTCCAGTTTTCCAGTCTTGGCCACTCCCAGATCTCCAGGTGTGTGGAGCGTCCTTCAGAGGATTGACCAAGA